ATTCCGCTCCCACGCGTTTGCTCGTGTTGGCACATTTTTTGTAAAAGCCCTTTCAACACTGACAAGAGTTCAGTTCCGTAAACCCATCGCTACTTGGAAAAGGCCTTCCATTTACAAAAAAGAACGAAAAAATTATGAAAGAACAAACATAAATGTGGTTAAAAATTTTAACTTCCACCGCCGCGCCGACCGCACTGTGTTGGCGTAATGCGTGAGGTATTCATGCAGTCTTGTAGGCGCTTTTCGTTTCACGCCGACCGCTGCTGACCACACTGTTTGGCGCAATGCGTGAAGTATTCATGTAGTCTTGTAGGCGCTATGCATTTCAAGCCGACTGCTGCTGACCGCAGTGTGTTTGACGCAATGCGTGAAGTATTCATGCAGTCTTGAAGGCACTATGTGTTTCATGCCGACCGCCGCGCCGCTCCGTTCCATGTCAAATTGCGTGTTTGGGTTCTCTCTTAACTCGACTAATTAAGGGCCGATTGTAAGATCTCTGGTCAGGTGCTTGTCAGACTGGTGGTTTAAGCTGACCAGAGGTATAGGTGTGTATGGCTCCCGGTTTTCTTCAGGTCAAGTCCCGGTCAGCCTTTGTTCTCTCTCGCAAACCAGTAGTTAGGCTGATTAGCAGATTGACTACTGTTCAGAGTCTGACCACTGGTTTGGTAACTAGAGGTTGACAAGAGATCTTACAAATGGTCTTAAAGGTGTTGTCTCTTGTATCACCGGAAGACGACAAAATTAGAAATTACCATACTTTTACTGTCAGGAAATGAGAGATTTTGTCGCCTTTTTTCGTTTGTAATTTACTTTCTGAATCCGATTTTTTTTCTCTCTTTTTTTCATACCTACATTCAAAAAAATTGCAAAATTTGCCGCCCCCTAAATTTTGCCGCCATGGGCCGCGGCCCATGTGGCCACCCCCTTAATCTGGCCCTGATCCCCCATAAGACTCCTCATAATTTTGAAACTTTAAGGTGATTCGATGGACGCCATATTTTGTGTTAGAATGGCATTCGATATTTCGCATCAATTGGTTCCATTTTTTCAGCTACTCGTCATTTTTCTCCAATTTTGAGATCGCAATTCTGTTGTCAGGAGACTGAAGCACTCACTTACCAATTTTAACAGAGAAATTCAACGTTATAAAGGCGTGGTTTTTTTTGGAGAGAAAATATCGCATTCGAGTGCAGTTTCGATATCAGTATCGAATGCGATGTTTTCTCTCTGAAAAAACCACGCCTTTATTTCGTTGAGTTTCTTTGTTAAAATTGGTAAGTGAGTGTTTTAGTCTCCTGACAACAGAATTGCGATCTCAAAATTGGAGAAAAATGACGAGTAGCTGAAAAAATGGAACCAATTGATGCGATATATCGCATGACGTCCTGACACAAAATATGGCGTTCATCGAATCACCTTAAACACATATTTCCTAAAAGAGCAAAAACTGTACTTATATGCCTTGTCCTCCAATTCCTTCGATTGACGTCGAGTAACTTTCCGTTAAAAAATAAAGTATGACAGGAAGTCGGCAACGTTGCAAGCCGAGATACGAGGTTTCGGAGTCTCGCCATCGACATTCATTCGTAATTACGAGTTTTTACCAACTTTGCGTATAAAATCGGAAGTGCCACCATTTTTCTGGATACTACGAGCAGGGCCGAATTAGCGCTCAAGGCAGGGATCTGAGGTGCTGGCACTGCTATCACAGTGGTCATAAGGGCCCGCACATGGCGGGTTGTATACTTTGAAAATTGAAGGCGGTTCACGTTTCCAAAACAACGAAGGGGCCTAGAATTGCCTTCAGTCCCAGGAGATCAAAAAATACTGCGTATGAGGCCTATCGGCCTCTGTGAAAAGAGTTGAAGCTCTTGAGGTGCCGCTTAAATTGTACGTAATTAGGTACTGCAGTTTATCAAAATTACAGTCTCAGACTCTCCAAAACTCTAATTTTCTAGGCTCGAGGCTGAATATTGAAGTTTCACCCTCAGCATCCCCCTCGAAAAAGAGACAAATTCCGGAATGTAGACTCCAGAGGTCCCTGAAAGATGTAATCGATACTCAGCGAGAAAGATACAAGAAAGTTTCATCCATATTCTACTTCCAAGTTTTCCAAAAGGTCATTAGGAAGTCACCCCTAAACTTTAAGGGCCACATAACCCCTCAAATCCCAATATTAGGACCCCTCTATTCCTCCAAAATATCCGAGACTCAAAGAGCCTCCAAAACATTTGATCGGACCACTCGTAGAGAAAAAAAAATTGAGAATAATGGTAGCGAGAAACTGTTTCAAGGGACCCAGGTACCTCGACTTATCCGGCCCTGATCAGGCAGAAGTGGATCCAGCAATTTGGCAACAGCGAGTTTCCTCCATTTAAACCTATGTTAAATAATCGATTCTTGTCAGAACACTCGACCCCTCTAAGAATCTAAGAATCGAGACATTTCCATAGGTTTAAATGGAGAAACACAATGTTGTCAATTTGCTGGATCCGCCAATGGGACTAGGGCTCTTGGAGGGTTCATACACTGAAAAAAAAATCTCGGTGTATTTACTAAGAAAAGTGTACAATTACCAAGAATTCAGGGTTCTATTTGATCCCAGTTTTTTCTTGGTAAAATTACCACTTATGGAATTGGTAATTTTTCTGGATCTTGGTAAAAACGCCAATATTTTTTATCGACTGGTAGAATTACCGAGATAAAATGGCAAAGTTACCGGGAATTGATTACCAATAAAAGTGGTATTCTTGCCTGAAAAAAACGGTAAAAATGCCGGTTCTTAGGTAAGCTTACCAGTCTGTCTCGGTAAAATTACCAATAATTGGTAAAAAAAAATTGAGATGGTAAAGGTACCAACGGACCTTGGTGAAAACGCCGAGAATTTTTTTTCAGTGTTGAGTAGTATGGAACAGATAGTTTGTCGCATTTAAGTGTTACTGGGTTTTTTCCCCCGTTATGTTTGCTTCTTTAAGCCTCTGCATCCTTATTGATCATTGTGTTTCCCTTTTCTGTTGCAGGTAAGAAAAATATAAATTCTTCACATCTCACTGTCCATAAATTCGGGCAAAATTTTGGTGAGTTACATCATTTGAAAAAAAATTGATCCATATACTCTGAGAAACAAAATTTGGGTAAAATTACCATTTATGGAATTGGTAATTTTACCAAGAATCTCGGTAAAATTATTGGACTTTCTCGGTAATTTTACTGGACCTTGTTAAAAACGCCAATATTTTTTATCGACTGTGGTAGAATTGCCGAGATAAAATGGCAAAGTTACCAGGAATTGATTACCAATAAATGTGGTACTCTTACCTGAAAAAAAAAACAGTAAAAATACCGGTTTTTAGGTAAGCTTACCAGTCTGTCTTGGTAAAATTACCAATAACTGGTAAAAAAAAGTGAGATGGTAAAGGTACCAACGGACCTTGATGAAAACGCCGAGAATTTTTTTTCAGTGTAAAGGTACTCTAACAAATCTAGGTTAGGCGTTTGAGAAGGTGTGCATGGAGCGGCAGAGGTGTCGCGGGAGTCTGGCCGGTTGGAAACCGTAAGATGAGGTGCCTGAACCCGAGGCTGCCGGGCGGTGGGGCGGTGCGGTGGGGCAGGCCAGTCTCTTTGACTCGGGACCCGGGACTTCGGGAGCGCTCGGGAAAGTCGGGACCTCGCGGGAGAGCGGGGACCCCGGCCCCATGCAGGCAGGTTCTATCATGTTGATAGCCTCGCTCGGCCGGCATCGGCTCCACTCGGCCGTTTCCGCCAGTCAGTCACAGCTGGTTGCTTTCACCCGGTTGCCGAATGTGCCCCCCGATGACATGGACCGAACAAAGATTGGTGGTCCGTACTGCCGTTCTCAACAAAAACGCCGTAACTCCATCAAAAATGTTTTCAGCTATTTATTGAAAAAATGTTTTATTACCGAAAGGTCAACGATCATTCGTCCTGCTAAAATCTGAATCAACTGAAACATGCCATTGAGAATCCTTTGAGAAAATTTTGGGTTTAGAATGATTCTTTAGGCTCATGCGCAGGGGTTATCGTCCTTTTTTTGCTGAAAATTCAAAATTTGCCGAGATTTTTTACCTATAAGATGCGATATATCGCATGCCAGTTCGACTACTTCTTTCGAGCTTGACGAATCACCTTATAAGTCGACAGTAGTCACGTCTAAGCCGAAGTTAGCCCCCATCACCTTCCCACCTGGGCAAAGGTTTGCTGGGGTAGGACTAAGATAATTGTTACCCCAACCAGAAATCGATTTCTGCATCGAATGCGAGGTTTTTTTTCCAAACAGGACTCTGCTTTCATTTCCCTATATTTTCCAATTTTTTGGATTAAAATGATTCTGTAGGCGCATACGCAGGGATTATCGTTTTTCTTTGGGACTCAAAATTCAAAATCTGCCGAGATCTTTTACCTAATCGATGCGATATATCGCATGTCAGTTCGACACCGAATCTCCTATTTTCAATAGATCAATCAACATATTTATATTAATAATTTGTATACCTTTTTCTATGGATGAAAGCGACTGTCACCTATCTTGTAGCAAACAATCATTTTGAGTTACCTATAAGAAGAAAATAAAGAAGTTTTAATGTTTTGTCATTTTTGAAGAAATTTTTTTCAAAATCAAGAAATTATAAACTGACATCAATCATCAACTACGGAATTGCTCCCCACAAGCCTGAAAATCCCCCATAATTCATCCCAGCAGAAAAGTTTTTAAAATCTACCTGTGTGATTTCCTCAGAGATTTGGCAAGCGTGTGAGACACAGTTGCTGGGGACCATGCAACTCCGGTGCTAGATTGCTCAGCGCGATGCTCTTTTCTTTCTCCAGTTCTGCTCCTGCGTTCTCCGCGGTCAGGAGGGCGCACGCGCATTCATTTCGCGACGGTCTAAACCCCTTTGTGTAGGTGGTTCATTGGTTCAAACCCCCAATTTCTATACTTCTAACTCCTGATTTTTCATTTGAATCAGTGCTGAAGTGAGGTCTGCGATCGGTTCCTGTGTGATTTCGATGAGTTTCGGTTCCCAGTGCGATTCGTCGGATTTGTGTTTGTTTTGAGTGTTGTGATCGCTTGGCTATCTATTGGAGTCCCTCTTCTTGCTTGGATCTTTTTATGGTACGTTTGCAAATACTTCAGTGAATCGAGTGAGAATGTTCGTTGTTGAGTTGCATGCGTTTCTTTGTCAGATATTTGATTCGATCGAGCGAATATTTCATGATTTCAGAATGTAAACAAACACTATCGTCAATCATACAGGTCCTCGAAGACTGGTGATACAGCTTTACGCTGGGCACCTAATTTTTTACCATGTTAGTTTCTGAGTAACATACCGCAAACGATTTCTTGGTGCATCATTTAAATTTTCTCACACTGAAGGAATTCCTTTCTAGCGGTTTGCAACAGGACGCTCAAGCAGTACGTTTTTTTAATCGAACTTAGTGACCACCCACGTAACTTGCATTTGATAGGTTGCTTATTTTCATGTATGCATTTATTAGCCTGGCAACTATGCATGTCTCTGTCGCGCTACAGTTTCATCCAAGAAACACTTGCAGTATAATATGTTTTCAGATTTTTGTCAAAAAATCACCTTGTTTTGAGAGACATCAGCTGGAACGAGTTTATCAGAAAGGAACCAACCCACATTCAGTTAAAACTGAGAAGAGGTTTGAAGTTTTATTCCTAACACTCAATGTAGAAAATAAAGTTTAACCCCTCTTTTCACAAACTAATTTTCGTTTTCGACTTTGAGTTTTTTTCAGGAGAAAATATACTACTAGAGGAGCTCAAAAACATTCTGAAAAACTCAATTTTTTCGAAAATGTGGGTTGGTTCCTTTCCAACAAACTCGGTTCAGTTTAGATGTCAATGTTTCTGCATGCCTTGGCATGTTGTCAATGCCTGTAAGTACTAACCAATTCGCAATGCAAAGTACTGGGAAACCGCTGTGGGTCTTTTTTCGTGCTGTACTTGAAGTAAATGAAATTTTATGAAGAATATTTGCGACAAAGTCCCTTTCTATGGATGGTAGGGATTCGATCGACATGAATCGATCGAGAAATAATAACGTGAACCCGACGTGATTCGATCGACAACCGTGAGTCGATCAACAAACCAGTGAATCGATCGACATATCCGTGAATCGATCGACAAGCTCGTGAATCGATCGACAAACCCGTGAATCGATCGACAAGCTCGTGAATCGATCGACAAACCCGTGAATCTATCGAAATTTGTCGATCAAATCGGTATTTCATTTTTCGATCGATACTGATGAACGCAAAGTGAAAAAAACCATGGTATCATCGCGGTGGATGACGTCATAGTAGTCATACTTTGTTTCCTTTCAGTTTTTCGGTGAGAGATCTCTGTTTGAGAAACTAGACGTTCCGATAAATCTTATTGTTTGTTATTCTCTTGCTGTCTGGGGTGAGGCCTTGCAGCCTTGCACCCCTTTCTTTCAGTAGGTATTCCTCCCCATCCTTAAGGTGATTCGTCAAGCTCAAAAGAAGTGGTCGAACTGGCATGCGATATATCGCATCTTTTAGGTCAAAAATCTCGGCAGATTTTGAAATTTTAGTAAAGAAAAGGACGATAGCCCCTGCGCATGAGCCTAAAGAATCATTCTAAACCTTAAAATCGGCAAAATTCAGAGAAATGAAAGCAGGATAGTGTTTGGAAAAAAACCTCGCATTCGATTCAGCTATCGATTTCGGTATCGAGTAATCTGCCGAGATTTTTTACCTAAAAGTGCGATATATCGCATGCCAGTTCGACCACGTCTTTTGAGCTTGACGAATCACCTTAAAAAAAATTCTTAGTTCTACCCTCAAGTTCATTTTGCTAGGATACAGAGAGCTTCGATTCGGAGGTGTTGATCAGGATTCACGACAGGTTAACGGTTGAGAAAGTTCAATCGAAACAAACTAGTCGAAGCGTGTCACTCATGAGAAAAGCATAATTGACCCACTCCCACAGTCTGGACAAGCATCAGGCAAGGAGCTACGAATCATCTGGGGGAAATTGCTCACTAAGTGTTACACGACACTCATGAAATTTGAATGCCTTCCTAGCCGATTGCCGGACCAAATTCGGATCCTGCGCCAGGCGCTACCGGCTTCTCAAAACTGAGTCACGTTCTAGGATGTGATTTTTGATCGGAGCAATTATGTACCGCCGTCGTCGCCTATCTCGCCATGGTTGTCGGATAAGCGAATGACAAAAGTTGAATTTTCATGGGAGCGCCGCGCCGATCATACATTACCCGGAAAATCTGAATTTTTGTCAACCCCCTCCCCCTCGCAATGCATCTGTAATATTTACAGGTGTGCAGCCCTTTAAAATAAATACGTGACGTTCAACGCTATACAACGAGGGATCAATTGGACCACATTTTGCAATTCGGAACTAAAATTTCTGGCTCATCTGTGAAAACACTCATGTGCACAGGGTAACTAATGGTACATACGTTGTTTTTAAACTGATGAGCAAGAAATTGTTGCTTCTAATTGCAAAATGTTGTCCAATTCAGCACCACAAATAACGGGTGGTAGCCATTTTTCGAGCGTCTTGATTCATGACCGTCGCTGAAATTCAGAAAAACTATGACTTTTTCGAAAAATCAAGTTGTCTGCCGTATCTCTGACTTGAAGACACTTCCGGTGAAAACTGAACTGAAAAAAAGTCCAATTTTTATCCCTTAGAACACGCTCTTGAGCAGTAACGCAGCTAGTGGGGTGTTTGAGCGTCTGAACTCTTCCCCAAGCCCAGAAAATTTTCCATAAAAACCCGTAATTTCAGGTATTCTCATCTTAGGACAACCCCTTTCGTCAACCAAATATCTGGCCACGCACTGGGGAAAAAAACACATTGGATCTAGAGTCCAGACTCTTGAAAACATTGACAAGAAAAAATACTCTTGATTCAATCAAATTTTTGCTTAAAATCAAAAGGAAATCCGCTCAAATTAAGAGGCTTGGTTCTTGATTTAAGGACAAATTCGATTGAATCAAGAGTATTTTTTCTTGTCGATGTTTTTAAGAGTCCGACTCTAGATCCAATGTGTTTTTTTTTCCAGTGCGCCACTGCTCCGAAAGTCTGGCGTTGTAACCGCGGAATATCCTGTATAACTTTCAGCCACGATTACATGATACTACGATCCTGCGACACTGACCCATTTCAGCCAGGCTCCTCTCCGGATCTTCAGTCTTCCGGAATGTTTCCTCCGGATCCCTCTTCCGGGATGTTGGCCGTGAAAGTGGAGTCCGTTTCTTCCCCCGTTCGTGTTGTGAGCCTTGTGCTCGCTGGTGACTCGGGTGCGGCATGCTGATATGCTAAGAAAGAACGACGTATAAACCTTCAGATGTCGCTAAATTTCCTCCCATAAAAACCAGTTTTTCTTGAAATCTTGTCACTAGTTTTCCTCCAATTTTTTTATAGAATTCCACTCTCAATTCAATTTTTAGCACCTGAGAATTTCCAGGGATGATACCCCTAACTTTCCTGTTAAATTTACATTGTACTGGAGGAAAGTTGGCAACATCGGAATGTTTATACTGCGTTATTCCATAGGACGGGAGTGCGCGGGTCCGAGCGCTTTGTGTTGGACTGCGTGAGTGCGAGTGAGCGAGCGTCGAGTGTTGTATTACTCGACTGCTCTCAAACGCAACTTGAGCGTCGATGGTCACGCGTTGTGCTCATTACGAACCTCATCCCACAACCTACGAGCTACTTGTTTAATGCCTGTGTAACCGCTTCCTTCGAAAAGGGCCACATATAGCGACACGACAACGAGAGCCCTGAATCCTATTATCAGCGCCACGGGTGATTCCGTGGTAATCGGACACACGGGGGCTTTCAAATCCGATGGGTGACTATTAACGGGGGTGGAGATCAAAGAAAGAAGGAGGGCTGGAATTATTTTTCAAAGGCGGTCGTGAAGGCTCCTCAGTACTTCTCACTATATTTTTCTACAGGTGTTTCGTAGTTAAACCTTCAGGAGCGCGTTCTATTTTCCATAGTTCAAATTGTTTCCATAATAATCACTGGAAAAAAAGCAAATTGGATCTAGAGTTCAGACTCTTGAAAGCATTGACAAGAAAAAATACTCTTGATTCAATCAGATTTAAGCTTAAATCAAAAGGAAATCCGCTCAAACTAAGAGGCTGGGTTCTTGATTTAAGCTTAAATCTGATTGAATCAAGAGTATTTTTTCTTGTCGATGTTTTTAAGAGTCTTGACTCTAGATAGGTACAATGTGTTTTTTCCCCAGTGATCCTTATTTAAAACTACGGTCGCTCTAAAATAATGGGAAAATCATGGTTTTTTTAACTTTGGCGGCTCAAAAAGTATGAAGATTGGCCATCCCTCCTCACTCGCACCGCGCTAAATTCAGCCATGGTCTAAAAAATGTCGAAATCTTAATGCAAAGGGCTTTCCCAGGCCGGCTCATGGGACAGAGACACCAAGATTTTTACCCTGAACCATTCGAAGTCCAAATCAGATCAGTTTAATTTGAGTGCCCTAATTGAATAATTTCGGCAACACAGCGGAATTTATTTAGTTTTTCACAAGCCAACGGTCGTGAGAGAGTAGTGGGTGCGCAATTTTTGGCAAAACAACAGAAGTCCACATTATCCCGCGAGAGGACTGTATTCCGTTTTGATGTCTTCTACAGTTCCTTTCACATATTTTTCCGCTGACTACTAGTCGATGACCTATTGCGTTGGATTCTGCTTCATTCTTGAGAATTATCAAGAAGTCTAGAAACCAAGGTTCCTATTTTAGTCGCGGTTACGAATTATGTTGATTAATCACAGTCAAAACGCAGCTGAGTCAATGTTAAACGCGGTAAAGTCTACTACCAAACTACCAGATGAGCGATAAAGTGGTGAATGTTAAGCCGGAAAAACTTCGATTATGATCATTCTTTTTTCAATCACCCCAGACCACAATCGGAGTGACACGGTCGTGCAGCAAAAAACATAGCCAGTATTTGTGCAGAAGAAATAGAGTTTCCTTTCCGAAATTATCGATGAATTCCTCGTTTAAAATCTCTTTAATCTCCATCGAGCGCAGACCAACTGCAACAATGCTGAAAGGGAGAGGCCTAAATC